CAGCACTCAGGACCACCACCCTGCCAGCATCAAGGGCAACTTGGACCAGACAGCAGTGACAAGCACCCCCTAACACTATAACCCCCACCCCCCTTCTCAAAGTTTTCGGGTGGGAAGTACCGTCCCTATCCTGCCACTAACACCCCCAGCCCCCTTTTCAAAGTTTTGGGCGGAAGGTTAACGTTTGCAGAAAGCCAGGTACGTTGTTGTCAATGTCTGCTGAAGCCCGTGCTTGCTGAAACCCCACCACTAGAACCCTCACCATAAACCCCCAACCCCCGACCCTCAATACCCCCCCGCACAAGCCCCCAACCCCCCAAACGAAACTTCTCTGTTCAAAGTTTTCTTTGCGGATTCGGGGAGATCTCGGTGACCACAGTCCAACCATGTTAAAAAATAAAAAATAAAAAAAAAATTGACCCACTTTTGGCCCCAACCGGAATCCTGGTTGGACCACCTGGGGTCCAACCGGCACGGTCCAACTGGGTGGTTGCGGGCACAAGCATGTTGTGTGCACAGTTCTTTGTGCTGTTTTTGTGGGACATGCGCTGGCCACATTTTGGTGGAGGGGTGGTTGACTGGTGGGCTCCTTTGGAAGATCAGCACAAGGGCAGGATAGATGTTCATCTTCTTAGGCAGTTTTGTTTCTTGGAGTAGTTGCAATTGGTGCCAGCTATGGGAGGGCAAGCGGTAAACACTCCTCTGCAGTCACAAGAGGTGGATGCTGAAGCAACCAAACTCAGATGCACAGAGAGAAGTCCTATGACTGCCATGATGAACCTATCGCTCGGCACAACTGGGACAGCAAGCATTGGGGCTTGAGAGACCCCCGCTAGTAAAGGTTGTGGACACTGATTTAACAAGTCGACTGCCCAGTCCACAATTCAGTAGAACCTCAGCACAACTGCCACAGGTTAAGGGGCTGTCGTCTTCTGCCAAATAATACATACGGTCCAGGGTTGCATGCCTGCCGACCGTATTGCAGCCGACCAGTCGGGCTGACTGGTCGGCGGTCTGCGAACCAGTCAGAAAACAACCATCCACTGATTTTTTTTCAAATCTGAGTTGGGGGCTGTACTGCGCTTGCTGAGTACAGCCCAAATCCGCTAAGAAACTTTTGGGGATTGAGGGGGGATATGGGGGGGTTGGAGGGGAGGTA